AAAAAAAAGAAAGCCGAGAGCATAAAAGGGAAAAAGGGAGAGAACGCACGGATCGGGGAAGAAGCCTACACACGCGGAGGGAAGCCACACACGCACACGAGGGAGATATCTTTATCTTCTCTCTTTTATTTATTTATTTCTATTAGTATGATAGGCTAGTTTTTCTATTCAGTTTGAGGGGATGTTTGAACCCTAATTTCGATTTGTCTATGAATTGGATGATTTGGATTTATCGTTGATTAATCTAGACGTCGTATTTAATTTGTTGATGACTTGATTCATGTTATTGTGTTTAATGTTTATAAATTATGGGTGTTTAATTTAGTTTGGTCAGCTACGTTGAATATTCATTGTTTAATTGCTAGAGACGAGACTTTAATTCGTAATTGTTATTGTCTTTCTTTCGTTAATAGTAAACTAAGGGTCGTGCATCTCTAGGATAGCGTGAACATAAGTTAAACGGTCCGAGCTTTTGTGCCCGTTGCTTAGACTAATCTATTTTCCTAGTAATTAATGCTGCTAGTGCATTAAATCTAGAGAGCTTATTCTAGGTTGTCCACTAGTTAGGTTTAGTCGAAGAGCCTGTTTCGATTAAATAATCAGTAAGGGAAAATTCGGTTAATAGAACTTATTGTTAGCTAGGGTTGGTAATTCATTAGCAATTTAAAGAAAGCGTCGAAATTGGTTAACGGTGAATTTAGATTGGGTGATAACTGAACCGAAAACTGGACTTCTCTTATTTTATTTGATTTTATTCATTATATTATTTTTATTTTTATCAATTCAATCACCCCTTTTACTGCTTTCGTAGTTTAGTTTAATTAATACGAAAATTGTCACGATTTAATTCATGCTTCTCGTGGGATCGACCCTTACTCACCGCTACTACTAGTTAGTAGAGGTTAGTTGAGGAAAACATTTTATAAATTTAAATTTGTCGCGCTGCGACGCGCGGTCAATATATACATGTATATTGTTTTTTATTTTTATCTATATATATATATAATTGCAAGCATATAGCATTTAATAAAACCTCTAACATTTTTCCCTCTATTTTCGGTTACAAAATTTAACATTAATATTTTTTACTTCTCACATTAATACATCATTATTAAGTGTAATCATGTATTTTTTCTATTATATTATATAATAGTTATTGTTAATACCAACTAATAATAATTCATAATAAATATAAATTACCTAATTAGAAACAATTGTTTCAAGTTATTTATATTAACATCAATATTATCTTTTTCTTTTCTATCTCATGAAAATTTTTTTTTAAAAATAATAAGTAAATTGTTTTAATAGCATAGTCAAACAACTTTAGAATCTTATAAACAATCAATTGTTTTTTTACTAATAATAATAATAATAATAATAATAATAATAATAATAATAATAATAATAATAATAATAATAATCAAACTATTATTATATAATGATAATAAACAATTGTTAATAATAATAAAATCGTTAATTTATTTTTCCTAATGATCAAATTTTTTAAAATGTAATATGTTCATTATCTAGAATTTTAATGTTAAATTCTCAAATATTACTTAGAATATTTTATGTACATCTGTGCATGTGCACAGGATATCTACTAGTTTTTTTTTGTTTTCACCAAATAAAACTATGTGTATATATATTTATATGGTAAATATTTATCATGAAATACATATTATTACCATTTTTATGTACAAATTTTACATACAAACTATTTAATTTTGTTATTTTTATGTATATATTTATATGACAAAATACTCTAAATATAGAAGTTTTAAAATTAATTATCCGGTACAACAATTCACCCAGTGACCCGAAGACTTGTCCGGGTCGATTACTGGGTCGGGTTTAAAATCTATGTATGTGGTAAATATTTTTGACAAAATACATAATAGTACGCCTTTGCGGTATAAAAGTGATGTATAAATTTATTTATTTTTTTTATTTTATGCATAGTTATAAGAAAAAGTAATATAAATATAGTTTAAAATTTTGTAAAATTAATTATTCGATTCAGCAATTGACCAGGTGACTCATGGTCTAGCATGAGTCAATCACCTTCTCGGGTTTTAAAATTATTACTGAAGCATGTGGTACCTACACATTACTAAAAAGAACTTTTAACTAAACTCATAACGTGCATGTGACTTCCATAAGCTCTTTGTGGGTCTTTTCTAGGGCTGCAAATGAACCGAGCAGCTTGCGAACGCTCGAGTCAAAGCTCGACTCGTGCTTGAGTTTGACCGAACTCGATTCGAGCTCGAGCGGCTCGAGCACGAACTCAAGTCGAGCTCGAGTCCATATTTTCATTGTCGAGCTGCTCGTCGAGCGGCTCAAGATACATGATAAATTACTAAAATACCCTTTATGTATATATTAGAATAGGTGCTTAATTCCATTAAAAAATTTTCGAGTCGAGCTCGAACATTTTGATTTCGAGTCGAGCTCGAGATATTGTAATTCTTTATCGAGTCGAGCAGCTAAAAAAAAAATCAATCATGCTCGATAAGCCAAATGCTCAACTCAGTTCGGCTTGTTTGCTGCCTTAGTCTCTCATATCTGCATGGAACTGATATACGACAGAGAGAGAGACCTAGAGAGCGAGAGAGATCCAACCCACACGTCTTGGTAGATCGTCGCCCACACGACATCCAAACGAGGCTAATGACATACGACATAAGATCAAAGGTGTTGGGAAAATCACTGGCACTCGCACGCAACCTCCGCATGCTAGCACCGGCGATCATTGTAACCAGTCGCGACACAGCGTCCAGCCCAGCCGCGACGCAGCAAGAGGACGCAGGCACCGCATGCAACCAACGCCCCATAGCCGATCACGCCCCAGCGCGACGCACACGAGCACAGCGTGCAGCAGACGACCCACACACAACCCAACAGCACATACGACACGTCCACAGCACGCAACGCCCAGCAACACGACACGTCGTAGCCCTTAGCTCCCGGTGACACACGCGAAGCACGTGGACAGCAGCGACGAAAGCGACGACTTAGGGACAGACGCGAATGTACAAGGCGGACGAAGGAAGAACTTCACAGAACCGTTCGTCTGGGTCCATAGCCTGTATAAGCCTGTACAGAGTCGGCTTTTGTGAAACCGTAAGATCTTGATCCTAAACTTTAGTTTTTCGCAACGCTTAGAATTATTTTCTTAAGGTGTTCGACTATTACAATGATAACCGAGGTTCTTCGCCCATCCCAACATGTGGATCTCCGAAAAACTAGACAAGCTTGTGTATCCCAAACCAAATCAGGCCTATAAAGATCTAATTTCCCTTTTAAACAAAACCCACTAAGACCTCAACTGTCTTACCTGCGTCGGCTAGCTGAAGTGGCATTCTAGTTTGTCATCCCTGTGATGCCAGTCCTCTACTGACATATGTAGATTCTGACATCGTAGGTTCTTAATAATTTTCTTACGCCGCTTCTTATCTCACTTTATTCTTATACTCAACTTACCCTTTCACTCTATATAGATTCTTTGTCAGCGTCCGTCCGATCGGGCTTGACCTCCATGAGCAGGCCTTCGAAATGACCTGAAGCTGCAACTAGGGCACTCTCGAGGTGTAGACACCTCCAATGCCCACATCCTTGCTGGGATCCCCGTACTCCAGTCTGCCCCTATTACCAAGTCGCCCTCAATGCTCGTGTTTGAGGGCTCTAAGGAGGCTGGATCCTCTAAAAAGTGACCTCGGTCACTGAAGACCTCAAGAGTTGCTCGTGTTTGAGGGCTCTGAGTAGGCGGGCTGAGGGCTCTGAGTAGGCGGGCTCTTCTAAGAAGACCGACGACCCTACGAAAGAATCCATCCTGTAGGAATATATCATAGCTTCATGCTTGGAGCAGCCAGGTTGCGTC